GGGGGGGGGGGGGGGGGGAAGTGGCGGGACACTTTTTTTTTTGGAAGACGGCGCGGATGGATGGAGAGGCTAGGAGGCCTGGAGGGTGGGAGGAGGACGATATGGAATCGGCGAGGAGAGCGATGATGGACGATGATGGGTTTAAAATGGTTGACCATGGTTGCGAGGGAGGAGAGAAGGGAAGGCGGCTTGGCCAAGTTGCTGGGTTGTGGGTAGGGAAAGGAGGGGCGAGTCTCTTTTTTTTTGGAAGACGGCGCGGATGGCTGGAAGAGGCTGGGAGGCCTGGAGGGTGGAAGGAGGAGAATGTGGGATCGACGAGGAAGGAGAGAAGAGACAAGTGATAGATGAGGTCCAATACTGATGATGGTGAGGGCGGCTGGCAGTTCAAGCACGGTGCGGGCATGAGTACTCGTCTCGCCACACCTGACTCGTTTTTCTCGACAGCGACCATGGGCAAGGCATTCTCGGTCGTTCTCGCCCTCACTGCCCTCGCCTGCTGCCTTGCTGGTGCAGGCCAGGCGAGCTTGATTCCGGAGCTGGCCCAACAGCTGGAGGAGCTCGCAATGTCGACGCCGACGTCTGTGGCTGCATCGTGGGCGTATGCTGTGGCGCGGGCGGATGCGGCGAGCTCTGATGACATCCTGGTCTCGGCCAACGCTGGCCGGCTCTATCCGCCTGCCTCCAACACTAAGATCTTGACGCTTGCCACGGCGCTCCTCTCGGCAACGTCGCCAGAGAAGACTGCTCTCGAGACGCAGGTGTGGTGGTCGGCCGATAGCGGACGCGTGTGCATCAACGGCCGCGGCGATCCGTCGATGACCGCCGATCGCCTGACTGGACTGGCATCTGCAGCAGCTGACAAGCTGGGTGAGAGCAGTGTCACCTCGACCGCCGTCCACGTCTGGTCTGGCTACTACCCCGCCGTCGACGTCTTCCCGGCAACCTGGGAGCTCGATGACTTTGTCTTTGACTACGGCTCGGGCATCAACGGCGCCATTGTGGACGAGAACAGGGTCACCTTTGCGCTCGCAGCCGGGCTTGCGGGCAGTACCAACATCACCGTTGTCTACCCGCCGTCTGCCGCCTCAGCCATGCCTGTTGACCTCTCTGGTCTTGTCATTGGCCCCTCCTCGTCCTCGCCCAGCCTCTCTGCTCGCTACCTTCCTGGTCGCTCTGGCCTCGTCATCACCGGCTCGGTCCCGGCAGGCAAGGAGACGCCCGTGAGTGGGTATGTCACCGTCCGTGGTGACGAGCTCTTTGCCAACACCTTTGCCATGGGCATGAACTCGGCTGGTGTGACTGTTACCGACGTCACGCTCGTCTCGAGACCGTGCGGCTTGGCTACCGACGACACGGTCGTTGCCTCGACCGCCTCGGACGCGGTCACCAGCCTCGCTCATCACTGCTTGCTCGTCTCAGACAACACGTACGCAGAGTCGTTTCTTCGCCTGGTTGGAAATGATGGCCTTGCGGCGAGCCGGCTTGATGTCCCAACTCTGGCCGATCTTCCGCGCTCAGCTGTCGCTGCTGGCCTGGCACGCGTTCATGCCACGCTCGTCGGCCAGCTCGGTGTTCGAGCCGACTCGTTTGTGCAGGCCGATGGCTCGGGCGTCTCTCGGCGGAACCTTATTTCAGCTGATGCGCTTGTGGGCACTCTCATCGGCATGGCTCGCCACGGCCCGGGCTACGGCAACGACTCCCTCGCGCCGCTACTTCCGGTGGCCGGCGAGAGCGGGACCCTCGCCTCGCGCTTTGTGGGCACGCCGGCCCAGGGCCGGGTCTCGGCCAAGACCGGCACGCTTACGGGCGTCTCGGCGCTCTCGGGCTACATCAACCGCACAGGACTCGGCGGCGACGAGTCGCGGCTGGTCTTCTCGGTCATCGTCACCGGCTACGCCGACCACGCGTCGTCGGCCCGGGCCATCATCGACAACATGGTTCTCGCCATGCTGGAGGTCAACACCTCTGGCCCGGCGCCATCGCCTGCCCACAAGTCCAAGTCGCACGCAGCAACTGTGGCACTGGCGGTCGCCGCTGGCGTTGCTGGCCTCATGATTCTCATCGCCGGCGGCGCGTGGTGGCTCCGCAGCCATGGCGCCGGCCGCGGCCCCGAGGGCGATGTCTTGCTCGGGTAGCGAGCTGTTCATTTTACGGCAGAAACTCGTAGCCTTCTTGCCCAACAAAGCAAACAGGGAGGACGAGTTGGCCGAGGTCAATGTCGAGGACTGGTGCGGGCAGGGCGTCGCAGAGCGGCGGCTCGATGACGTCTGGGACGGCGACGCGTGACGAGGCGACGCCGGCCTGCTCGACGCCGAGTTCGTCAGCAAGCGACTCGACGAGGCCGGGCTCGACGCCGACCTGGTCGTAGTCGTCTGTCTGCACAGCGTGGAGGAGGGCAACAAGCTGGTGGCTGGAGAGGTGCGGGGCGACCTGGCCTCGCGTCTCAGCCACGAGGAGAGCGTCTTTGGGCATGACGAGGACGTCGGCCAGCTCGCGGACAAGGACCAGGCGCTCGCGAGCCGGCAGCTCGCCACCGCTCAGCTCCGGGTGCTGAGCAAGCCACTCTTCGAGCTCCGAGACGGCCATCTTGAGCTTGAGCCCGCCGCTTACGGTCGCGCCGCGCGAATCGACAAGGACAGCGTTGCAAAGGACGGCGTTGATGTGCTTGAAAACGGCCGAGACGACGGCAGCGCGGGTGTCACCAAACACCTCTGGGTGCCACGGCGCGACGACGGCGGCGAGCTCGTCAAGGACAGCAATGACGGTGGCTGGCGAGAGTGCCGGGCGCGGGAGCGAGGGCACAGTGGCCGAGCCGACGGCGGCGGCGGCGGCGGCGCGGGCCGATGCGGTCTCGAGCGTGGACGGCGCGTCGAGAAAGGCGCCGACAACGACAGCGCTCTCGAGCCGCTGGTTGTAGTGGCCGACCAGTAGTGAAAACGCGGTGTAGGCGGCGGCGTCGAGGGCGTCCTCGAGCGAGCGGGCCCAGGCCGGGCGCGAGCGAGCACCGCCGACGGCCAGCGCAAGCTCATTGCTCACGTCGTGGACGAGGAGGGCGGCAACGGCCAGAAAGTATGCGAGCTCGAGCGGCTTGGCGCGCGAGGCGCGGACCTTGGCGTCGAGGGCGGCCGGGAGATCGTGGACAACGAGGGCAGCCGGCGAGTTGCGCAGGAGCTCTGTGGCAGACGCCAGAGCCTCCTGCGACTCAAAGCCAAAGTTCCAGTCGACCATGGCGGCAAAGACAAGACGCTCCGAGATCGGCAGGCCGTGCTGGTACCAGTTGGAAAAGGCGGCGACGGCAGTGGCGACCGACTCGTGGTCCCAGGCCTCGGGCTCAAAGATGGAATCCGGCAGCCCACGCGAGGACATGCCGACGGTGACGAGGGCGGCCGAGGAGAGGGCGGCGGCGCGGTCGTCCGGGTTGAGATAGACCGAGGCGATGGCGCCGTCGACAAGGAGGGCGACACGGCGGCCGACAAGCTTGAGCCGGCGCTCGCGGAGGCGGGCCTTGATCCGGCCGAGCTCCTGCGAGATGGCGCCAGCCGGGTCGGGCTCGGGCAGCTCGCCGAGCTCGCCGATGCTCCGCTGGGCCACCGGCAGCTCGGCGTTGATCTGGACCGACGACGAGAGCGAGCGGCGGTGTGCGCGCGAAGCGGTGACCGACGAGCGACGGGCCGGGACGTGCGGCGAGGGGAGCGACGGCTGGCGCGAGTGCGAGCGAGCAGTGGTGATTGAGGTTGCGCGCGGGCGGGCTGGACTGGGGCGGCCGCCGTCACCCGGCATGAACAGAGAGGCCGGGTAGACAGGCCCGGTGGAGCGAAACTCACCCGTGGCCGATGGCGAGACCTCGCCGGAGAACGTCTCTGTGGCGTGCGAGTCCGGGTCGGACTCGAGGTAGTTGGGCAAGGTACTCTCGTCGTCCATTGACGAGAGCGACGAGAGGGTGGGGGTGGGGGTGGTGGCGGTCACGTTGCCTGCAGCGGCAGCAGCGACGAGCGGCGAGACCTGGCGCCTCTTGCGGCGCTTCTTTGGACTCGCACGCGGGCGAGGTGGTGGGTCCAGGCGATCTGACGAGGCGTCGGCTGAGAGCGAGGCCGAGGACGGCGGCGGACCCGACCGGGGATGATCGTCGCTGGACGAAGCAACAGAAGAAGCAGCGAGGGCAAGGGCTGGCTCGGGAAGCGATGGATCCCACAAAACAAGCGAGACCTTGATGGCAGTGCCAGGAACAGGAGCAGCTTCACAGAGGTAGACACGAGTGACGAGATGGTCCAACTTTGCCAAGTCTGCCAGATTGACGGTAGCCGAGCCAAGAACGCGATCTTTTCTCTCACTCTTGCTCTTTGCATGGCGAGTACCATTTGCCACTGCAGTCAAGGTCAATATCTTGTCATCGTACTTGCCCGAGTCTATTCTTTGGTAGAGAGTGCAAGGAAAGTTAAAAACAGTGTCAAAAAAAGCCACACTATTACTTGCAAACACAGCTGCCGTCGTTCCCGAATGAGAGCCACGAGCATAGCGGACGGACACCGTCCCGCCTTCTCCCACACACACATTCTGCACAGCATGAACAGTGACTCGTGCATGTCGCTTGACCGCACGTCGTCCCCGCCGTCCGAACAGACGCGACATGTCCTTCCTCTCTGCTGCTTCCGCCGCAAGGGAGGGGAGGGGGGGGGGGGGGGGTTGGGGGGGTAAGGGGGGGGTGAAGGGCGTGGGTGCCGTG